CCCCAAAACCCCAAAACCCCAAAACCCCAAAACCCCAAAACCCCAAAACCCCTATTATATAATATTATATTGGAAATAATTATAATCAAAAATGTTTTTAAGAAGCGCCTCGGCTAAGACTTCAGGCATCGCCAAGATCTCAGCCAGAGCCATGTCTCTCACTCATAAGCACAAAGTCAGCGAGGAAGCCGACCAGGCCCTCAAAAAGCTCGGCAAGTTTGCAGAAGACAAGGCACGTAGGACCAGAGTTCATGTCAACGATATTGGTCCTACCATTTTGACCCGTAAAGAAGTTGACAAAGTCTTCCAAGAGTTCAGACTCACTTCTGACACCGAAGCAGACAGAGCTCGTCACTTAAAGCCTGGAGACCCCAAGAGAGAAGAATTTTATTCCAGAATCAGTGCCATTGAAGAAGGTGACCACGAAGTCATCCAAGGAGTCAAGAGCAAAATTCGTAAATTATTAGAAGAAGAACTCAGATTCCTTGAGTTCAAAGCAGAACTCGAAGACCCTGAAAGAAGGAAAATTATTGATGAGACCTATGGAAAGATTTATGACTTAATGGCCCCAGGTAACACTCATCGTAAAATCCCATATGTGTTGCCTCACGAGCATATTCACCCTCAGCATCATATTGATGCTGAGTCATTGACCGAGGACGACATTGATAAGCTGTATGCGTACTACTCGCTGTACGTTGACATGCACATTTCGCAGATCAGAAGAAGCGCTGACGACAAAAGCTATATTCCTCCTCAGTTCAATCAAATTTCTCTGTCGGAGTCCCACATCTTCGAACACAAAATTGATAACAAGTTCCTCGAGTACTACTACCAGTGGAGAGAGCCAACCAGAACCTGGAGGTCCCAGACGCAGGAGATCGACCACGAGAAAGAGTGGGAAGCCTTGCCAGTGAACCACCATCCCGACCCGAAGGCTTTCACAAAGAACGAAGTGGAGTGGTCTGAAGACCAGAAGTTCCCTCACGTCGCCAACAGACTCGGATACCCAATCATGGGGGAGACTCCGATCGAGAGGATGCTCGGAATCGAGAGGGCCCATGCACACCCTTCGTACCAGTTCCAGGCCTTCGTGCAAACTCCTTCCATGGACCCAGATCCAACTTTGAACTTCGAGAAAGGCGAAACCATTTATGAGAACAAGAGAGTCGGAGAGTGGGTCAGAATGTGGAAGTGGATCATGACTGGAACTCTCCCGTTCTGGCCAGCCTTCTTCACCTTCGAGATCTACCAAGGCGACGGAGTCCCATCCCTTCAGTGGCTCGCAGACATCGGAAGTTGGCACCAGGTTCCGACTCAGATGCAGGACTCAGGAGGCTGGGGACTCGAAGGCGTCAGATACTGCGATGAGCATGACTACATGAACATCCAGTACATCTGGAAGAGAGCTGTGTTGAGGCCAGCTCACACGCTCTACCAGCTGGCGCTGCTGTACACACTCAGGACCATGAACTTCAACTACGCTACCAAGCTGGTCTATAATAAAGACAAAGATCTTGTGTTTGCATACAAACCTCATGGATGGTTCTCCGAGAAAGAACACATTTACGAAGTCCACCATTTAGAGTCGATGGTGCCAGCAACAGTGAATGCTTACAGACACCTCGGAATGGGCCACAAAGACGGAATCACCACTCTTAGCTGCATGGACACCAAGGACACCATCAAACTCTACAATGACCCGAAGTACTGGAACATCGAACTCAGGGACGGGTTCGTTGCTCAGACCAGGACCATGTGGCCAGGCCTGATGGACAAGTTCCACGGAAGAGTCGTCCAGGTCGCTCACATCGGGAGCGAGAAGATGGACAGGCATATCGAACGTGTGCACAGAGAACTGGACGAAGCCGTTGAGAAGCACGGTCCTGTGGCACCATCACCAACATACTCTCAGCAGTTCCACGACAGAGTGAGGCAGCAGAGGAAGCAGATTGTTGGGTAATCATGTGAACTAGAGGCCTTGGTATTTCTCCTTAAGCAGTATTCAATATTTCTACTCAAAAATGGGGTTTTGGGGTTTTGGGGTTTTGGGGTTTTGGGGTTTTGGGG